GGAGAAACCTATGGAGGATTGTTGGTTCTTCATGGCTACTGCTATTGTGAGTTCACAGAAAAAATTCTGGTAGTGAGCTTGGGGGTGTTGATCAGCAGGGCCAGCTTTTGGGAAGGAGAGCGGGGCACAGAGTCGGGGGTGGGGGTGGGAAAGAGGACAAAGTGGATCAAATTTGCAAGTACCTCTGCCTTCCCTCACGACCTCTAACCAAGGACGACCTTCAGAGCATAATGACTGCTGCTTGACTTTTGCCTCTCAAATCTCATGCAAATTTCTCTTGTGGCCATCCCTAACCAGGCACCACACAGGGAAGGGAAGGGAATTCTAGGAAACATGGTTCTAGCTCAGTTAAATTGAGCACAAAACCACCTCATCACCTTTCAGAGATATATACTAGAATATTTACTGATGAAATGATATGAATCAGGATTTGCTTCAAGATGTTTTAGGGAAGTGGATGAAGATACAGATAAATCCATTTTGTCCATGAGTGTACAGTAGGTGATGGATACACAGAGGTTCATTTTACTAGTCTACGTTTGGTACATGTTCAGAATTTTCCACAATAAAAAGTTAAATAAGTAATGCTAAAACTATACTTTGTGTCCTATTCCATCTATTCCACCCTTGCTGCATTTTTTTCCTTTAGGGTATGTTCTAGGGTAAAAACATCACAAAGTTTAGTAAAGCAAAAAGAAAAGTTTTATTTGGCATGTATTCATAGAGGCAAAAGTGGAAAGTAGACAAGCATGCTGCCAGAGCCATGTCTACCTGAGTCCGAGAAACTTTACAGAATCATCAGTATATACTAACATTACAAATGGGCAAAACTATTGAAAGCTTCACCTTTTCACAGATTCACTAGACACGATTAAGTCACCATGATTCTACATTTCGAATTGTCTTTCTTAACAACCATCGGTACAGGTTTCAGTAACGACAGTCAGGAGAGTCTTCATTGGTCCAACAAATCTTCTATTCACTAAATATTAACAGAAAAAAATAAGAGTGGAAAATATGTGAGTCTTTTGTGCTGTTTTATTAGTTTACCTGAAAGGTTTCCTAAAAAATGTTTTCCAAGATTGTCCTAGCTATTGTCTTTATACCTCAGGGCCCAGTTGATGTGTCCTTGTGAGTTCTTCTCCAGCTGGGTCACATTCTAAGACAGGGAATAATGGCTCCAATATTATCTTCTAAATCAGGTATCATTAGACTCATAGGTTTTATTTTATTCAACATATTGTAATCAGTTACTCTTGTTGATGTTCCCTTTGTCCCAAGTATGACTGGTAAAATTTCCTTTATACTGATTCTCTTTCTTCGGACATGACCGTGGTCATCTTTGATAACGTCTTTATTTTCTGACACCATCAGATGTCTCAGGTTCACTTTAAACTTTCTTACCACAAACCCCAGAACCAGTCATTTCTCCATGGATCCAGAGCATAATGTTTAGAAACCGAGACCCAGGTGTTAGGTATGCTCATTATTAGTGTGGTATCATTTCTTCTAGGTTCTTTCTTAAATGAGGGATGTTTAAGCAAGTTAATAATAGATATTGAATTTTATTAAATGCATTTTTATCATCTATCAATATATTGTTTTTTCCCCTGACCTGAATTTTCATTTGGTAAAATTTATTAATAGATTGCATAATATTGAATTATCCTTTCACTCCTAGAAAGAAATCTACTTGTTAATGGTAAATTGTTCATTTAACGTATCATTGCTTTTTATTCGCTGATATTCATTTAGCATATTTGCATCCTTATTCATAAGTATATCTGTATCACTGAAAAGCTGTTTTTATAGATTAGTCTGGAATTGTTTTACTGGTGAAACATATGGATTTGGGATTTTTTGAAAAAGGAAGTACCTGGCCTCAGTTTTTTCACTTCTGGGGGTCTGTTTAGGTCATTCGTATTTTTCTAGAAAGCTATCCCTTTCATCCAAATATTCAAAATCTAGTCTTCTCTTTGGGTATCTCTCCTTCTGTTCTCCCCCTTAGGAGACTGAGATAACTGATAGATCTCTGATAACTGATTGCTGTCTGATTCCCAATTCCCAGTTCTGGTAAAGAAATTCTGACTGATTGGCCCAGCTTGGACACCACGTTCACCATGTGTCCAATCAACTACAGCCAGGGCGTGTCAGGTAATACAAACTAGGCTACTTGGTGCCATCTCTGTGGGTCAGGAGGAAAACTCCCAGAGAAGGGAGGTTATAAACCAGCCAGATAATAACACAAGTTGTCTACTTGGTTAGCTCTTAGATTTATCAGTTATTCCATTTTCTCTATTTTCCCCTCATTCACCGCTTTCTACTTGCATTGTTAAGGCAAGGTTCACAAGAATGTTCGCACTCTCTCTCTGCCCTATTTCCTAAAGTCGTTGTCTTCGCTTGATTTCCTTGAACTAGGTAACAAAAGAAACCAGCCTGAACCAGTGCCTGACGCCATCGTAACCCCGTAGGTGACCTTCTGTCCGATCTGGAAGAAGATGGAAACTTTCTCAGAAAAAAAGACAGTACAGACCTAATTAGTGAATGAGAAGTCCGACCAGCGCTAAACCACCTTCTCCATCCAGTGTGCCTGAGCAGAGAATAAAAATTGACCTGGCCTTTTAAATCAAAATTTATAGAGCCGCCGCCCATGAAACAAAGATATACACCCACTTCCTGCCCTTAACCCCATAAAACCATTCCCCTGAAACCCCTCGGGGAGGCAGTATTGGATGGCATGCAGCTCCGACTGCCTCCTTGATTGGCCAGTCAATAAAGTTGCCTTTCTTTCTCCCCAACCCATCTCTGTCATTTTGGTCCTGGACAGAGTCACACCAAGCAGAACCCGGAGTTCCCGGCGACATTCTTATTAAGTTCTTTTTTTATTATTATTGTAAAAATTTACAAGCAGTCCCCGACTTAGGATGGGGTTCTGTTCTAAGTTGGTTCTAAGGTAAGTCGAATACCTCTTTTTATTAGTTTTCATTAGTATTGCCTTTTATTATCAGTATCTTTATAAATCCAATCTTTATTTGTCTTTGATGTGGAAATACTACGTATAAACTTAACGATATATTTTAATACATGCATACATTTAAAAAAAAATCAAAAATTACTCCGACGATGAAGAAGAGTTGGACAACATTGGCATTTTGTCAGTTGTGGTAATAACGCCACTTGTGGAAGGTTCTGGATTATCCCTGGAAATGAGGATAGCATTTCTAGTCAGAAAATTAGCTGGAGTTGTCTATATGGTCCTTTTCTTTCTTTGTTTTCCATATATTTCGAGGTAACCTCTCACTGCTTCCCGAATCTGCCTATCGACTTTAGCAAAGCTATCAGCGTTTGGGTCCATGTTTTGAAGCACCGGAAGCCCTTTGATTTAGTTTAGCAAAAACTTCTGGTAATCTTTCACTGTAAATTTTTTGACAGCTTCTCTCCTTCCTCTTCCTCATCATTTCTTCTTCAGCATTTCTTTACTCTTCAAAATCCATTAAGTCCTAATCTGTCAGTTTCCCTTCTTTGTGATCTATGACCTGTTCCACATGGGTGCTATCAAGTTCTAAATTCAGCATGATTGCCACCTGGACAATTCTTCTACCAATTTCTTTCATCATGTTATTCTGATCAAATGCTTGGAGTGTGTACACATAACTCAACATTTTTTTCCAAATCCCCTGTATGCATTTTTCCATAACTTCCTCCCAGGAAGATGCAAAGTTCCAGACACACTGAAGAATATTAATTCTTCCAGAAATCAAGTAATGTTATCATACCTCCATCTCTTGCAACTATTGCCTGAGAAAATGTAGTCCATAGGTAGTATGCCTTGAAAGTGGTGATTGCCCCTTGATCCATAGGCTGAATCACAGCTGCCCTATTGGGAGGTAGGAAAAAAAAAGGTAGTTGTAAGTGCTATTCCTCCTAACTCAAGTACATCGTAAATCAGGGACTACCTGTACAGCTTTTGCCAATTCAATAGTTACTGAGTTCTTGTTTCTGCTTTTATTAGATTCATTTTGTTGTCCTTTTTCAAACTTCTTATTTGGATGTGTAATTCATTAATTTTATGTTTTATGATTAGAAATATGTGTTTAAAGCTACAAATTTTTGTCTCAGTATAGTTTTAGCATGTTTCATAGTTTTGATATTTAAAAAAAAAAACCAAACCCGTTGCTGTCGAGTTGATTCCAACTCATATAGTGTTTTAATTCTCTTTATATTCTTGTTCTGTTGTCGTTTTGATTCAAGAGTTGCTTTGGAGAGCCTTTGTAAAATTTCCACATTGTTTGGGAGGGGTTGTTATTAGGTTACATATTAATTGCACAGAGTATATGAACTGAACTATTTACACTTTATTACACTTTTCTTTGTGTCCTAATATATGGACAGTTTTTTTTGTAATTATTCTTGAGCTCTTTAACAGAATATGATTGTTAAATTGCCCTACTGCTTTGTATAATTTTGAGACTTGATCTGTCAAGGACTGAAAGAGGTATTTTGAATGTGTGACTACTATCATGTTTCTAGTCCTTTCTCTTTTCATTTCCTGCTACTTTTTGCTTTCAATATTTTAATGCGTTTATTTAGTCGATAAAGTTCAAAACGACTATATCTGCTTTGTGGGTCATGCATTTGATTGTTATAAAGTGGTTCTTTTGTCCTATTTAATTTTTTTTTTTTTTTGCCTTGACTTGAGCTATACTGACATTAATATTGCAAGCCTTCCTCTTATTTTTTTTTTTTTCATTTTCTTGGGATGTTTTTGTCTATCCTTTTACTTTTGATTTTTCTGAGTTCCTTTGTTGTAACTTGATTCTTTACACTTAACTCTTCCATTTATCAAGTGTTTATATTGGTAAATAGTATAAGCCATAGTTTTAACTTAGATTTTCCCTTGAGTTACAGTTCCCGTATGTATTACATAATCAAACCATTTATTACATAGTCAAGAAAAAGGATCATAAGGTAACTTGTTCTTTTGTCTCCCACTGCTCTAGATGTCTGTGGTTTCTCAAGAGATTCCTCTTAATCTTCGGACTTGGAATCATTCTATTTCTGTTCCTTCATTCAAAGTTCAGTAGCTTCAAACCAGAGCTCCCACGTCTGGCTCCAATAGCACAGAAGCTGAAGCTTTTACCTGAGGAACGTCTCAGGAACCTCTTTACCTATGATGGAATTTGGTGAGATATCGAGTGTACTCTCCCTTCCATCCTCTTCCACCTTGGCCTGACATCCCCTTGTTCTTCCTCAGGTTTACTATGCCCTGTTGTACCCATTTTACAGATGGTTACTTACCTTCCTGAACCTGTGCTGATCACTAGAGTGATTCCAAACTGTAGGAACCGGGAAAGGGCTTGGTCTGTAGTAGCACCCAGGGAAGTCCCTTTAAACTCTGGAGGGCCTGTTTGACCAAAACTACAGGAAAAATTCTGCCTTTCTCTCCCTTCTGGTGGAGCGGAGATGTCACCGACATTCATGCGGGCTTTCAGGTTTAAAGAAATCAAGTGTGAGGGATAATTCAAGAGAATGAGAATCTTTGACCTTTATTCTCTTTCCTACCTCCAGCCTCAAGCCTCCCTGGGACTCTGGGTAGGACCACTGCTGGGTTTCCAGAGTCTCAACCCAATCAGTACAGCCCAGGTGTGGAAAAGGGGATCCTCAGGGTGAACAACACACTGATTAGACCCCAGGTTCCCTCACTCACCAGCCCACCCACTCAATCCACGTTTACAGTCCTCTTACTTGTTTTAGGTTGTTCCCGAAAAATGAGTGCAAATGTGAAACCACCAAACAGCAGAGAGGCTATAACTTTCAGGATGCCTACAGCAAGAGTGACCTCCCAGCAGTGAAAGCAAGGAGACAGGCTGAATATGAACACTTTCAGAGGAGGTAATGCAGACCATGAGGGCTCTTGGGTCCTGAAGTAGGGGCAAAGCTGTCTCTACTCTGTTCTGATGGTGTGAGTCCTAAGGGAAAGGAAGGGATTTCTATTAACACATGCAAGGCACTGTACTAAGGACTTTACTTGTTGTTGTTAGCTACCATCCAGTTGACTCTGATGCATGGTGACTTTACGTACAACAGAACGCAACACTGGCCAGTGCTGCGTCATCCTCACAATTGCCAGCATGTTTGAGATAATCATTATAATGTTGATGATAAACATAATAAACATATAATCTCATTGAGAGGATCAATCGCTAGAGGAGGACATCAAGTGTGGTGAAGTAGAGCGCCAGCGAGGGCAAGGGAGATCCTCACTGAGATAGAGTACACTGTTGTGGCTACTGTGCCAGTCCATACTGTAAGCTCATTGGGAGTAGGATCTGCACCAGATTATCTTTGTACCAAACACAGTGCCTTTCTCAAAGTGGGTCGTCAGTGTGCTTCAGCACTAAATGGGAGCATTATGAAGCTCTGGTAGGAGCTGAGCTTCTCCCTGCCCAGCCACTTCTTTACTGACACGAGACCCAGTTCACATCAGTCATTACTATTAGTTGTGTCTGGTTTTGTTCAGACCTATATTGCCAGGTATAATCTCAAGAGAGCTGGTCATTTCCACAGGTGAAGGAGGGTGCAGGTGAGGACTGACCAGGACCACCTCCAATTCCTTAGCCCTCCCTGTGTGGAATCAGTTCCTTCTTATAATTCCTTCTGCCCAGCTCCCTCTGGACCAGCCCCTCCCTCGACAGTCACCAGCCTCATGTCCTCTTACTCCTTCCTTGCCCTTCCCCATCGCAACCTCTCCATCTCTCAACCTTCTCTCTACTTCCCTATTCCCTTTCCCTCTACCATGCCCCTCCACGATTTGCACACCGAGGCCTTCCCTAGTGGAGACAACCATGACTCCTTTCCCTCTGCAGTCTCTATACTGCCCAGGACAGAGACTGGAGTCATCGTCCTTGTAAACGTGTCCCCTGTGCTTCCCCTCACGCCATTCACTTATGCTACAGACATTCATTGTGACAGGCACTTCAAGTGCCCAACTTGAGAGACAGCAAAATAGTGGCAAAGGGAAAACAGGAAACAGGCAAAAAGTGGGAACCATCCTGGCTGGAGGCAGGCAGAGGGGGTTACGGGAGCACAGAGCCAGAGCACAAGGTACTGTTTGGTGTGAGAGCTTATCACATTGAGTTATGGCTCCCTCTCTATTTTTCTTATCTGTTCTACTATTCTATAATCTCACTGAGAGAATCAGTTGCTAGAAGAGGACATCATGTGTGGTGAAGTAAAGGACCAGCGAGGGCAAGGGAGATCCTCAGTGACATGGAGTCCATTGCTGTGGCCACTGTGCTAATCTGTTTTACTGTAGGGACCAGGACGATTCCTATAGCTCTGATTCCCACCTTCCTGGTTCTGTGGCAGCTTCCTCTGTTGCAGGAGTTCATGGAGGAACTCTTACAAAGAAACTGCTGTTGTTAGGTGCGAAAGAGTTGATTTTGACTCACAGTGACCCCATGTGACAGAAGAGAACTACTCCATAGGATTTTCTAGGCTGTAATCTTTACAGAAGCAGATCTCCCGGTCTTTCTCCAGCAAAGGTGCTGGATGGGTTTGAACCACCAGCCTTTTGGTTAGTAGCCAAGAGCTGAACCATTGTGCCGTCAGGGCTCCTGGGAATATACTAAGGGAAGAAAACTTGGGGAAAAGTCCTTAGAAATTAATATTATGATACTTTGCATGTATAAAACATTTTAAAATAAGAAAGGAATGAAGATAGTTTGTATCAGTGTGGTGGTGGCGGCCCTGCCTCAAGCGCACCCAGGTCCTCATAGTCAGGGGACTTCACAGCCATCACCAGTAACACTATTTATTCATTTATCTGTTGAGAACATATCTCTTTGCCATGTGCAATTCCAGAGTTAGACTCTCGGGGTTTATCAACCAGATTGTTGGTTGGATATAGCAAGAACTGATTAGGGCTGCTAATATTAAAAGGCCCCATACACCTGTCAGTACTGTGGTGGCTTGCATGTGGCTGTGATGCTGGAAGCTATGCCACTGGTATTTCAAACACCAGCAGGGTCACCCATGGTGGACAGGCTTCAGCTGAGCTTCCAGACTAAGACAGACTAGGAAGAAGGACCTGGCGGTCTACTTCTGAAAAAAATTAGCCAGTGAAAACCTTATGAATAGCAGCAGAACATTGTGTGATATAGTGTTGGAAGATGAGCCCCTCAGGTTGGAAGGCACTCAAAATACAACTGGAGAAGAGCTGCCTCCTCAAAATAGAGTCGACCTTAATACGTAGATAGAGTCAAGCTTTTGAGATCTTCATCTGCTGATGTGGCACGACTCAAAACGAGAAGAAACAGCTGTAAACATCCATTAATAATAGGAATGTGGAATTCTGAAATATGAATCTAGGAAAACTAGAAATCATCAAAAATAAAATAGAACAATAAGATCAATATCCTAGGCATTAGTGAGCTGAAATGGACTGTATTAACCATGTTGAATTGGACAGTCATATCGTCTACTGTGCCAGAATGACAAGTTGACAAGGAATAGCATTGCATTCATAGTCAAAAAGAACATTTCGAGATCTATCCAGAAGTACAACGCTGTCAGTGATAGGATAATATCCATACGCCTACAAGGATGACCAGTTAATACTATTATTCAAATTCATGCACCCAACCTCTAAGGTCAAAGATGAAGAAACTGAAGATTTTTACCAACTTCTGCAGGCTGAAATTGATCAAACATGCAATCAAGATGCATTGATACAAAAAACTGAAACAAGACCCATACTTCACACCATGCACAAAAGCTAACTCAACATGGATCAAAGACTTAAATATAAAATTGAAAATGGTAAAGATCATGGAGGAAAAAATAGGGACAATGCTAGGAGCTCTAATACAAGGCATAAACACAATACGAACCATAAGTAACAATGCACAAGCACCAGAAGATAAACCAGATAACCGGGAGCTCCTAAAAATCAAACACTTATGCTCATCAAAAGACTTCACCAAAAGAGTCAAAAGATTACCTATAGACTGGGAAAAGATTTTTGGCTACAACAAATCCGATCAGCATGTGATCTCTAAAATCTTCAAGATACCGCAAAACCTCAACAACAAAAAGACAAATAACCCAATTTTAAAAATGGGCAAAGGATATGAACAGGCACTTCACCAAAGAAGACATTCAGGTGGCTGACAGATACATGAGGAAATGCTCACGATCGTTAGCCATTAGAGAAATGCAGATCAAAACTACAATGAGATATCATCTCACCCCAACAAGGCTAGCATTAAGCCAAAAACCACAATATAATAAATGCTGGAGAGGTTGTGGAGAGACTGGAACACTTTTACACTGTTGGTGGGAATGTAAAATGGTACAACGACTTTGGAAATCGATTTGGCACTTCCTTAAAAAGCTGGAAATAGAAGTACCATATGATCCAGCAATCCCCACTCCTTGGAATACATCCTAGAGAAATAAGAGCTGTCACACGAATAGATATATGCACACCCATGTTCATTGCAGCACTGTTCACAATAGCAAAAAGATGGAAATAACCTAGGTGCCCATCAACGGATGAACAGATAAACAAATTATGGTATATTCATCCAGTGGAATACTACTCAATGATAAAGAACAATGATGAAGCCGTGAAACATAACATGGAGGAATCTGGAAGACATTATGCTGAGGGAATTTAGTCAGTTGTAAAAGGACAAATATTGTATAAGATCACTATTATGAGAACTCAAGAAAAGGTTTAAACACAGAAGAAAACATTCTTTGATGGTTACGAGGGTGGGGAGGGAGGGAGAGGGGTATTCACTAACTAGGTAGTAGACAAGAATTATCTTAGGTGAAGGGAAGGACAGCACACGCTCCAGGGGAATTCAGCACAGGTGGACTAAACCAAAGCTAAGAAGTTTCCTGAATACAGTCAAACACTTCGAGGGACAGGTTATCAGGGGGCAGAGGTCTGAGGACCAAGCTTTCGGGAGCCATCTAGGTCAATTGGCATAACAAAGTTTATTTAGAAAATGTTCTGCATCCTGCTTTGGTGAGTGGCGTCTTAAAAGCTAGTGAGTGGCCATCTAAGATGCATCAATTTGTCCCAACTCACCTGGAGTAAAGGAGAATGAAGAACACCGAAGACACAAGGAAAGTATTAGCCTAAGAGACAGAAAGGGCCACATAAACCAGAGAGTGTGTCAGCCTGAGACCAGAAGAACTAGATGGTGCCCAGCTACCACCAATGACCGCCCTGACAGGGAACACAAGAGAGAGTCCCTGATGGACCAGGAGAAAAGTGGGGTGCAGAACTCAAATTCTAGTAAATGGACTTAATGGTCTGACTGAGACTGGAGGAAACCCAGAAGGCATGGCCCCTGGACTCTCTGTCAACCCAGAACTAAAACCATTCCCGAGGCCAACTCTTCAGACAGATTAGACTGGACTATGGGACATAAAATGATACTTGTAAAGAGTGTGCTTCTTAGCTCAAGTAGATTCATGAGACTAAATGGGCAGCTCCTGTCCGGAGGTGAGATGAGAAGGCAAAGAGGGTCAGGAGCTGGTTGAATGGACACAGGAAATCAGGGGTGGAAAGGAGGAGTGTGCTGTCACAGTACAGGGAGAGCAGCTAGGGTCACATAACAATGTATGTATAAATTTTTGTATGAGAGACTAACTTGAATTGTAAACTTTAACTTAAAGTACAACAATAAAGAAAAAAAAGGAGGAAAGAAAAAAATGATGCAGAGAAAAAGGGGGAGAAAAAAGAGTTCGGCTGCTAACCAAAAGTTCGTCAGTTTGAATCCACCAGGTGCTGCTTGGAAACCCTATGGGACAGCTCTACTCTGGTCTATAGGGTCTCTATGAGTCGGAATCGACTCGACGGCAACAGGTTTTAATAATATAATATTTGTCCTTTTGTCTGACTTATTCATTCAGCATAATGTTTTCAAGGTTCATCCATGTTGTGACATGTATCAGACCTTCATTTCTCTTTATGGCTGAATAATATTCCATTGTATGGATATACTGCATTTTGTTTATCCGTTCATCTGTTGATGGATACTTGGGTTGTTTCCACCTTTTGTCTATTGTGAATACTGCTGCAATGAACATTGGTGTACAAGTATCTGTTTGAGTCCCTGCTTTCAAGTCTGTCTATATACCTAAGAATGGAAATGCTGTGTCATATGATAGTTCTATGTTTTACTTTTCGAGGAATTGCAGAAGTGTTTTCCACAGTGGCTACACCATTTTACAGTTCCACTAGCAGAGAATGAGGGTTCCAATTTCTCTACATTCTCCCCAGTACAGTTATTTTCCATTTATTTGATAATAATCACCCTAGTAGGTGTGAAGTAGTCTCTCATTGTGTTTTTTTTTTAAATTGTGCTTTAGATGAAGGTTTACAGAGCAAATTAGTTTTTTATTAGACAATTAACACACATATTATTTAGTGACATTGGTTGCCAACCCAGCGACATGTCAACACTCTCCCCTTCTTGAGCTTGGGTTTCCCATTACTAGCTTTCCTGTCCCCTCTTGCCTTCTCATCCTTGCCCCTGGGCAGGTGTGCCCGGGTAGTCTTGTTTTATGGGTCTGTCTTATCTTTGGCTGAAGGGTGAACCTTCAGTACTGAGTTAAAACTGTGTCGGGGGGGCCATACTCTCTGGGTTCTCATTGTGGTTTTGGTTTGCATTTCCCTAATGACTAATGACTTTGAACATCTTTTCATATGTTTATTGGCCCCTCTCTTCTTTTTTTGCTGGTCCTGATTTTTACTTTTTATGTACTTTCTTGTAAACAGCCTTGGTATCCTTATGGAATTAGAGGTTGAAGTAGAGGGAGTGGGAATAAAGGAAGTGGAAAGAGAAGGGAGGGGAGGCAGAGGCAATCTACTTTCAGTTTCTCCCCATTGGCAGGACAAGGCTCTGTACCACTTCAAGAACTACCCAGGGCCTGGCACCAAAACGGCTGCTAACGTGGTGTTTGTTTCCTTGCAGAGAAGGGCTGCCCCGCCCACTGCCACTGCTGGCTCAGCCCAACCTTCCCTTTGGGTACCCTGTCCACGGGGTGGAGGTGATGCCCTTGCACACAGTTCCCATCCCAGGTAGGTACATTCCCATCCTGGGAGAGCCTAGGCAGCTTTCTTATTCCTTCTTAGGCATTTTCTTTCAGGGCAAAAGGATGGAGCTGAAGGCAACAATCATTCATGAGTGCCTGTTGTGCATCCAGCACAATGCAACAAGCTTGATACGGTTTTGCTGAATGTTAGCCTCACTGTGTCCACAACTGGGCAGCACCCCTTAGTAGCTGTGACCTCCCTGAGGCTCCGAGATAACATAGAAGAGAACAGAAATCTGTGTGCCTCAAAAAATATTAGGACATAATTGGCTTTTTGGTGTCAACCAGCATAATGGGAGCCAGCAAAGTGCAAGACTGTCTCCAGGAAGTGCATTCTGAAAAGAACATTTATGTCAGCTGAAACTCCTCTCCACCATGGAGTTGTATACACCCCTCTAATTCAGCATCACCACCCATATCAAAGGGTGGCACAAATGGTTAAGCAGTTGGCTACTAACTGAAAGGCTGGCATTTCAAATCCACCCAGAGGTGCCCTAGAAGAAAGGCCTGAAAAATCACAGCCATGAAAACCCTGTGGAGCGTAGTCCTAGTCTGACACACACAGGGTCACCATGAGTCGTAATCCATTCGACAGCAACTAATTTGTTTGTATGTTTTCCCCCATATCAAACGGAAGTAGAATATTATCAGGAGAGAGACACCAGAGGCATGAGCCTGTAGATGCAAATGTCTCCCCGCCAATTTCAAGAGGGTGAACTCTGTGGGCCCATCCAGTGAACTCTTCTTCTGCTGTGAGCTCATCCCATCTTGAGACAAACAGCCCCACTATGGGCTGGAAAAGATCCAGGAGGGTCTGGGCAGTGGTGACACCTGGGGATCTGGCATGCCTCCTGGATCAGGCTGAGCTCTGTCCAGGTCCAGCACCGGTGATCAAGACAGACACTCAAATTACACAGACTCACACATCAGATGGGGTGAAGATGAGCTTGAATGCCCTGAGACAGGCAGGAATGCAGGATGTCTGTGGACGGCCCTACCCACATAAAAGGAAATGCAAGTGTCAGAGTGGTGGCCAGGCCATCCCAGACAGTGGACAGAAGGCAGGGGGATGTGGGGCAGGAGCCTCAGCCCCTAAGCTGGGTGAGCCTGGTAGTGATGTCACCAGGGTTGATGTCACCCAGTACAGTAACTCATGGTGTCACCCCCCATGCTAATTACCTCAGCAATGTAGCTAAAACACCAAAACATTTGACAAAATCAGCAACTATAATAACACCCACAGTGATGGAAGACAATCGCGCGTGCTTGTAGCGATTGTGGATGGAACCACTTGATTAGAAGCGTCATTGTAATTGGGTAATAATGACAGCTCGGACTAGAGCACATTAGAAGGTTCAAAAAGCAAATTAGCATAGAGTTTTAGCCTTGTAGGCATATTGATACATGTAAGCTGGGCTTACAAAAAATTTTTTTGTTGTTATAACTAACTATAGGGATATTTTATAATAAATTTCTGCTGAAACACTGCACAAAAATTTATAAACAGTCATTTTGGTGTCACCCCCTCTGACAGTGTCACTGGTGCAGTTTGCACCCCCTACACCCTCCTAGTGACTCCACTGGAGCCTGGCTCACTTCAGTTCCACTCTGGCCATCCTTCCTTTTAAGCTGACCTCACATTTACAACAACCCGTGAGATAAATATTACTTTGCCATTTTCACAGCGGATGATAGTTTAGTAAGTAGTCTATAGGCCACAAAGGGAGTAAGTATTTGAATTAGAACTTAAATTAGTCATATTGTAAGAACAAAGATACACTCTAAAGTAAATACACGTGGGGTGAATTACTAGTGTTTTTGAATAGCCAGTTTTAAATGATTTGCCATTTTGGATGATTCATTATTTATTCATTGCTTCCTTCCTTCGGTAACAGAGAATGAATTCATAGCACCCATTTGAAGCTGAGGATGGGAATCAGAGGTTTTAGGACCACTGGGGCTTGGGAAGGACAATGGAAGACCATCTAATGGAAACGTGGGGAGAGGCAGTGTGTCAGTAAGCACTCTGAATAGCAGGTGACACTTGAAGAGACTCTAGAAGGATGAGGAGGAGTAACCAGGTGGGTGAGAGGATCAAGGAGCCCATAGCATCCTCTCAGATGGTGTTTTTTTTTTTTTTTTTTGTCTCTTTCCTTGTGTCCTCCAGGTCTCCAGTTTGAAGGACCAGATGCCTCCCTCTATGAGGTAAGAGTCTCCTTCCCAGCCCCTCTTTGTCTTTAGCATTCTGTCCTCTGCTCACTGCCCATGCCCATCCTTTCAACTGCGGCTGATCTCAGACAATGACAGAAACCCCTATCTGGATTTACCTGGATTAAATATCAGATGTGAATTCAAGGCTGGGGGATAGTGGCAATAGTGTGTATAGAAGTCTGATTTTTCTAGCTCTGGGAATGGCTGGAATTCCAGGGAGAACTCCCAAGACCACTTAAAGAACTAGGTCACCAAGAGGACTGCTGCCACAGCTGAGTGATAGAGAGAAGTGGACCAATTCTAGCTACTGGTTGAAGGTAGAACTGACAGGACTCACTAGCAGATTGGATGTAGATGCGAGGGAACAGCAGAACAAGGATGACTTCCATTTGGGGGCTTGAACAGTTGAGTTGATGATGGTGCCATTCGCAAGAACTGAGGAGAGCATGGGAAAAGGGAAATGAATTTATAGAGAAAAATCAGTTGTTCCGTTTTGAAGAGAGCAAGTTTGAGTTATTGTGAAACTTCCTAGCAGAGCAATGAATCAGGCAGGAAGATCACAGCAAGAGATGAGCAGAAGACATATACACCCACTCCTCACTTATCGACATGGTTAGGTTCCACAGATCAGGTTGTTATGCAAAAATTGGCATATGCAAAAATGGAAGATGACAACATCAGATCACAGAATATTATATGGGACACATATGTCCTTCTGGACCCAAGAGGTGGAAAATGTAGGTGGGTACTATATGTCCCAATGGTTATGAAAGGGTTACTGCCAGACGTGTGTCATTAATGCGCACAATAGTCAGATAGTAGATTTTTTACTACTTATCTTAGTCATCTAGTGCTGCTATAACAGAAGTACCACAAATGGATGGCTTTAACAAAGAGAAATTTATTTCTTCACAGTAAAGTAGGCTAAAATTCCAAATTCAGCGCGTCAGCTCCAAGGGAAGGCTTTCTCTCTCTGTAAGCCTTCTCATCAATCTTCTCCCAGACTAGGAGCGTCTCCGCGCAGGGACCTTGAATCCAAAGGACACTCTCTGCTCTGGGCACTGCTTTCTTGGTGGTATGAGATCCGCAACTCTCTGCTGGCTTCCCTTTCCTTTTATCTCTTGTAAGATAAAAGGTGGTGCAGGCCACACCCTAGGGAAACTCCCTTTACATTGGATCAGGGGTGTGACCTTAGTAAGGGCGTTACAATCGCACCTAATCCTCTTTAACATAAAATTACAATCACAAAATGGAGGACAACCACACAATACTGGGAATCATGCCCCAGCCAAATTGATGCACACATTTTTGGGGGGACATAATTCAATCCATGACACTATTGTTGTAAATGCAAAATGTCAGATAACAAGATAGTTGATAAGTGAGTAGTAGGTGTGTCATACCACTTGTGGTATTTCTGTTACAGCAGCACTAGATGACTAAGACAAGGTGTATTTGGAAATCATCAGCATATACGCAGCATTTAAAGCCCTAGAAATGGATGAAATCCCCTACCATGAAAGTGTGGAGTAAGAAGGCAAAAGTGCCCAGAACCAAGCCCTAAAAAACTCCATTTGGACGTTAGATAGAGGAGAAAAAGGAGTGGGCAAAGAGAAGACAAAAGGAAAAGTTGGCAGAGTAAGAAGACATCTAGAAGAATGGTGCCCTACAAGCAAAGAATAATAGTGGTTTGAGAAGCCCCGTCCTTGAAGTTGAAGCTGAAGAAAATTAGAACAAATCCATGTGAGCCAAAGTACGACCTTGAGTATATCTCACCTGAATTTAGAGACAGTTTCCAGAATAGATTTGATGCATTGAGTACTAATGGCCAAAAACCAGACGAGTTGTGGAATGACATCAAGGACATCATACATGAAGAAAGCAAGAGGCCATTACAAAGACAGGAAAGGAAGAGAAGACCAAATGGATGTCAGAAGAGACTCTGAAACTTGCTTTTGAACATCGAGTAGCTGAAGCAAACGGAAGAAATGATGAAGTAAAAGAGTTGAATGGAAGATTTCAAAGGGTGGTTCAAGGAGACAAAATAAAGTATTATAATGACATGTGCAAAGACCTGGAGTTAGAAAACCAAAAGGGAAGAACACACTCATTTCTCAAGCTGAAAGAGCTGAAGAAAAAATTCAAGTCTCTAGTTGCAATATTGAAGGATTCTGCAGGGATAATATTGAATGACACAGGAAGCATCAAAAGAAGATGGAAGGAATACACAGTCACTGTACCAAGAAGAACTAGTCAATGTTCAACCATTTCAGGAGGTAGCATATGATCAAGAACCGATGGTATTGAAGGAAGAGGTCCAAACTGCACTGAAGGCATTGTCGAAAAACAAGGCTCCAGGAGTTGACAGAATATTAAAATATTAATTGAGATGTTTCAACAAAGGGATGCAGCATGAGAAGTTCTCACTTGCCTGTGCTAAGAAATTTGGAAGACAGCTACCTGGCAAACCAACTGGAAGAGATCCATATTTATGCTTATTCCAAAGAAAGATGATTCAACCAAATGCAGAAATTATTGAACAATATCATTAATATCACACGCAAGTAAAATTTTGCTGAAGATCATTCAAAAGCGGCTGCAGCAGTACAGTAACAGGGAACTGCCAGAAATTCAAGCAGGATTCAGAAGAGGACATAGGAGGGGGGATATCATTGCTGATGTCAGATGGATCTTGTATGAAAGCAGAGAATAGCAGAAAGATGTTTACCTGTGTTTTATTAACTATGCAAAGTCATTCAACTGTGTGGATCATAACACATTATGGATAACATTGAGAAGAATGGAAATTCCAAAACACTTAATTGTGTTCATGCAGAACCTGTACATAGATGGAGAGGCAGTCATTCAAACAGAACAAGGGGATACTGCGTGGTTGAAAATCAGGAAAGGTGTGTGTCAGGGTTGTATCCTTTCACCATGCTTATTCAATCTGTATGCTGAGCACATAATCTGAGAAGTTGGACTATATGAAGAAGAACGCTGCATCAGGATTGGAGGAAGACTCATTAACAATTTACAATATGCAGACGACACAGCCTTGCTTGCTGAAAGTGAAGAGGACTTGAAGCACCTACTGATGAAGATGAAAGACTACAGCCTTCAGTATGGATTACACCGCAACATAAAGAAAACAAAAATCCTCACACTGAATAAGCAACATCATGATAAACGAAGAAAAGATTGAAGTTGTCAAGGATTTCATTTTACTTGGATCTACAATCAACACCCATGGAAGCAGCAGTCAAGAAATCAAAAGATGCATTGCAGTGGGCAAATCTGATGCAAAAGACCCCTTTAAAGTGTTAAAAAGCAAAGATGTCACCTTGAAGACTAAGGTGCGCCTGACCCAAGCCATGGTATTTTCAATTGCCTCATATGCATGCAAAAGCTGGACAATGAGTAAGGAAGATGGAAGAAGAATTGATGCCTTTGAATACTGGTGTTGGCAAAGAATATTGACTATATCATGGACTGCCAAAAGAACAAACAAATCTGTCTTGGAAGAAGTACAGCCAGAATGCTCCTCAGAAACAAGGATGGTGAGACTTTGTCTCACATACTTTGGACATGTTATAAGAAGGAATCAGTCCCTGGAGAAGGACATCATGCTTGGTAAAGTAGAGGACTGTCAAAAAGAGGAAGACCCTCAACAAGACGGATTGATACAGTGGCTGCAACAATGGGCTCAAGCATAACAAAGATTGTGAGAATGGCGCAGGACTGCGCAGTGTTTTGTTTTTTTGTACATAGGGTGGCTGTGAGTTGGAACTGACTCGAGGGCATCTGACAGCAACAACCCTTGAACACCATGTCTGATGCTTCTCCTCTCACCTGCGTGCTCTGCCTCCTGCTGTCATCCTGGGTATGTTCCTTTTCTGAAGGACAGACATTTTCCAGCCCCTGCATTTAACGTCTTTCTACCTCACCCTTCCTAGGTCACCCTGACAGCTTCTCTGGGGACACTGAACACCCTCGCTGACACTTCGGACAATGAGGTGCAGGGCAGAGGCCAGAAGCAGCTGATCATTTCAACCAGTAACCGGGTGCTTTTGAATTTCATCCTCCAACATGTGACTTACACCAGCACAGTGTACCAGCACCACCAGGTGGACATGGGTGAGATCCTGTCCTTCGATTGCAAAATGCTTAGGGAGCCAGAAAACACCACCAGGCCATCTCAAAGTCTTCCTCCTCCAGGAAGCCTGCCTGTATTTACAATTCTCCCCTTGCTCCTGTTTGTAATCCCAGACACCTAACTTCCCAATTGTTGTACCCAATACTGGAGTCCCTGGGTGGTACAAGCAAGAAGCCCTCGTGGTGCAGTGGTTAAGCACCAGGCTGCTAACCAAAAGGCAGTTTGAACCCATCAACCACTCCGTGGGAGAAAGATGTGGCAGTCTGCTTCCATAAAGATTATAGCCTTAGGAACCCTATGGGGCAGTTCTACTCTGTAGAACTCCTAGAGGGTCGCTATGAGTTAAACTCAACTCAGTGGCAACAGGTGGGTGGTGCAGTTTGGCTGCTAACTGAAAGTTTGGTGATTCAAGTTCATTCAGAGGCACCTCGAAAGAAAGTCCTGGTAATCTGCTTCCAAAAAATCATCCATTGAAAACCCTATGGAGCATAGTTCTATTCTGACACACATGGATCGCCATGAGCCGGAATGGATTTGGCAGCAACTGATTCAATTTATTTCAGATAGTAAATGGCAAAGTCAGAACTTAATCCAGATCCTCTGATTCGAAGCTCGTGCCCACTCCACTACACCAGATTTTCCCAGGAAAAGAAATGTGGGCTTAGGAGGCATTCAGCAAATTGCCCCAGGGAGCCACAAATCAGCAAATTAGTAGCTAGAATGAGATTAGAGTCTGATTCATATACTCTCTGGGCTCCTCAGTCTAATTCTAGCCAAGACTTTCCCTACCAAACCTTCACTCCTCCATAAGTCAGCTTCCTGGGGCAATGTGAAGGGTGATCCAGATTTGATGACGCCCAGGTTCTGACCTCCTTTCTCCTTCCAGTGACTCTGGAGTCTAAGTCGTCAGTGGCGAAGTTTCCAGTGACTATCCGCCACCCTGTCATCCCCAAGTTATATGATCCTGGACCAGGTAAGGCCCTTGTCCCTGGGGCTCCATGGTGGGACCCTGCAGAGCTATTGGTGAAATTCAGAGGGGAGCATCTCAGAGATGGAAGGGGGAGAGTTGATAAAAGTAACAGTTCTGATATGATTCCTAAAGTGACAAGCTTTGGAGGGAAAAAAATTCTAGGACACACTCCCCTAATATTGCTTAATTGTACTTATTATATGGTTTGTGCTTATTGTGAAAAAAACTAATGAGTTATAACATTTTAATAAGCAATTGTAATAAAAACAGAGTGGCACTGGAGCATGAATAGATATATTTCAATGAAATCAAATTGAAAATCCAGAAATAGATCCAATACATGCTGAAGTTTCACTGTGATAAATGTAGCTGTCCAAATCAAAGGGGGGTGGGGAGGAAGATGGATTAATCAAGAAATTATGTGGAATAATGACGTGGGGTGTCCCAACACCATTTATTGCATAGCCCATCCTTCTTCTCCTCCCTGGCTTATCGTGCCACTTCTGTCAGGTGCCAAATTCCCAATTTTGCGGGGGTCTGAATTTGGGCTTTCTTAGATTCTATTAATTTGTTTGTGGATCCTTGGATTAATTCCATAGTGTTTTAATTACCAAGGCTTTAAGAGAGATTTTGATATCTAGTGGGGACAAATCCTATCTCACTATGTACTTCATTTGCAAAATTTTCTTAAATCTTCCTCATCTCTTACTTTTCCATTAGAGTTTTAGGATCAGCTTGTCAAGATCCTCTAAAATCCCTTACGATTTTGATTGGAACTGCATCAAATTTATAGATTAATTAGAGATGAAGTGACAACTTTATAAAGGTGAAAATTCCCCAGCCATGAATCTTGTATATCTCTCTGTATGTTTTGGTCTCTTTTTCGTTTCCTCAATAATTTTTTTCCTTTGTAATTTTATTTGTAAAGGAATTGCGCTGGATTTAGTCTCAGGTACCTTATATTTTTATTGTTATTGTGAACTGGATCATTTCTTCCACATTTTACAGTGAAACCTGTGAGAGCTGGAACTTGATGGGACTGCCTTGTTTTTCCAGGTCTGGCAAGTTTCCCACCTTTGACAGGGTGCAGTCTTACCAGTTTCCTATCACTCATTTTAGTGGAAAATATTTTAGGTTTCCTTCTCTGACAGGTTTCTGCCTTACACAGTTTCCAGCTTTCACAGGTTTTACTGTAATTGGTTATTTTTGGTATATAGGAATATTAGTGATTTTTGAGTGTCGAACTTATAAACAGCACCTTTGCTGGCCTCCCTTATCAATAGTTATTATTTTTTAATGTATAGAATTTTCTTAGACAAATAATGATAAATTTTGTCTCTTCCCTTCAATTCTTATAATTTGTTTCTTTTTCTTTTCTTACTGCATTGGCTGACATCTCCACAACAGTGTTAAGTAGTAGCAGTGATAGTAGGCAGTTTAGCTTGTTCCTGACTTTAATAAGCGTATTGTAATGTTTCACCATTAATGTTTGCTGTCTAAGAGTGCGGTAGATGTGTTAGGGTAAAAAAGTTTCTTTCTTTTCTTCTATTTCTATTGCTAAGAATTTTTTCTATTTCTACTTTCTCTTTTCTATTTCTTTGCTAAGAGTTTGTATTATAAATGAGTATTGAATTTTATCAGATAATTTATCTGCCTCTATTGAAATAATTTTTCTCCTTTAATTGGGTTCATGTGGTAATTTACCATGATAGATTTTTTGCTGTTGAAATATCCTTGCATTTCTGGAATAAACCCGTCTTGATTGTGATGCATTGTTTGATTAAAAGCTGAATTAAATTTGCTAGTATTTGTTCTTGTATCTTTATTCAAAATGGAGATTACCTTTCCCGGTAATATCCTTGCCCAGTTTTGTTACCAATATTATACAAGTCTCATAAAATGAGTTAGGTAGTTTTCTCTTTTTTACTATTTTCTGAAATGGATTGTAATGGTAGGAATTATATGTCCCCTGAAGGTTTGTTAAAACTCATCTGGTCCTTGTTTCTTTTTTACTTTTTCTTCTTTTTTGTCCAAGTTGGGGACTAGGAGTGGAAATGTGAATAGGAGGAACAAGAGAAAGGGGAAATTTTTTTTTAAACACCAACTCCATGTCTTTAATGGTTATTGATCTATATGTACATTGAGTCAATTTTAGAAATGTTTCTATAAAATTATCCACTTGACCTAAAATTTCCAATTTATCATAAAGTTTTTCATAGCATTCTCTTATGCTTAAAATTTTTTTAACACTTCTAAAGTTATGCCCCCTTTTGGTTCTTAACATTTGTTTTTTCAATAATTTTATGTTGTTTTAATATCCAAATATTCTTGTTCCATTTATGCCTGTTTTCATTTCATATTTTTCACATATGTAATTATTTTATGTGTCTAATTAAATATCTCAAGCATTCTTATTTTAAACCATTTTCACATTTCTCTAATACTTTCCATCTATCTGGAGTGGGTTCATCTGCACGTGGTAGATTTGCTGGCTGTCGTTTTTCATACTAGTTTTCTTTGAGTGTTTTGGAATAGTCCACTCATCTTAAGTAAGAGACGTTTGTTTGCTTGTTTGTTTTCTTTTCTCCTCCTCGCTTGCTTACTCTAGCTATCAGCTGACTGCTTCCCATCTCACAGCTTTATAGTTGCTGCTACCCCCAGTATCCTTGGATTCTGAGTCTACCCTTTTGTACTGGACTCTCAGGGTTCCTGTCCCATGGAGTTATTGAAGATCTGGTTGTTGGGCCTGAGGGTGGCTTGGCACAGGTCCTACTGTGAAGTGGCATCAGCTGTGCTTGCACCCAGGGCTGTGTGCAGGGATGATAGCTGTTTGGGGACTCCTCGCATAGAAGGTAGTATGTGGTAGAAGATGTACGGAATGCAGCCTTGCACCAGTCCATGGTTTCTAGCAAAAACCTAACTCTGGACCCACACATTCAATGAGACACTTCTCTCCTGTTACCCCTCTGAATCGGCCTCCCATCCTCTTTTGCCCGCTTCTGACCCTAGAATACAGCAAGCCAAAGCTTCAACTCTGCTTGCTGCTTTTTATTTCTGTTCCTTGAGAGAAATGTATTCTATTTTGGGGCATAGCTGTATCTTTTTATTTTTATAACTGTCATTGTATGTATTTGGAAAAGAAAAGAATCTCAAAGCAGAAACTTCCAGTACCAACTTAGCCAGGAGTCCCCCACCTTGACCATGTTGTATGGTAATTCATGCCTGGTTCTCTCTTTACTATAATAAAATAACCAAACCCTTTGTCCAGTGGCCTAAGAAAAGAAAAGGGAGGAGAGGACTCATTTGGCATGCTCTTGAACACAACTTACTTGATTCTTTTCACTAACATCTTTTCCCCTCCCTCCCTCCCTCAGACTCAGGAGAAGTTGTGGTTATGGGGCAACATGTATTAAAAAGGGAGTTCTGGAATGACTTCTGATTTCTGTCATTCTGAGAAAATAGTTCTGCAGTGAGGTTATGGAGCACTCAGCCACAAACTATAGGTAAGATGTGGCTTTCAGAATGTGTCGACTCCAGCTGACCACACACTCACCCAGACTTCACACAGGCTCCATTATCGAGTGAGGCTCCACAAAAGGGGCCTCAATCCCAGACACACACCAGCAGTTCCAGGTGTTTCATCATGGGGTCTTCTCCAAAGAAAAGTTGTTCCTTCTCCAACCTTTTATACAAGTCACAGGCATTAAGATGGACAATCTGATCTAGGTCTTCCAATCTCCAGGTAAACCTATTTCCAACCATGTCTTCCTGGGGATAAGATCATATAGGTTTCTCTCTAGGAGGTACAGGTGATGGCAGGGGGAGATCTCAAGTCCTTTAGAAATTTCTTCTTTTCTTGGGCCTTGTGATGCTTGGGTTTGAACCCCTTGATAGACAAAGCCCTGCCTGTCTCAACTCCTAGTATTAAAACGAAAGCAGAATGCAAGCAAAGTGCTGACAGATTGGTGTAAAATGAAGCGTTCAAATAGACAGGAGGAAAATGTCATAGAATCAGGGAAGGGAATTCCAGGAGATGACCTAAAATTTCAATCAGTTGGGTACATCTTAAATACACTGATTTTCCAATTCAACTAACAAACTCTTATTAAGTACCTACTGTGTATTAGGGAAGGAGCCCTGTGGTGCAGTGGTTAAAGCACTTGGCTGCTAACTGAGAGTTCGGCGGTTAGAACCCAACAGCCACTCCACAGGAGAAAGATGTGGCAGTCTGCTTCCATAAAGATTACAGCCTTGGAAACCCTATGGTGCAATTCTACTCTGTCCTATAGGGTCACTAGGAGTTGGAATTGACTTGATGGCAAGGGGTTTGGATTGGTGAGTTTGACGTATTAGGGTCATGAGGCCCATAAACACTGAAATGTTGTGGCATAAAGAAGCTATCAGACCAAAACAAGTCAAGACAGTGAAGTTTCCCGCAAGACAGACTCTGACATCCACCCCTTTCTCGCCCAGAGAGAAAGCTCAAAGACCTGGTGACCATTGCTACCAAGACTTTCCTCCGCCCTCATAAGCTCATGGTCCTGCTCCACAGTATTCGAGAGTATTACCCAGACTTGACCGTGATTGTGGCTGATGACGGCAAGGAGCCCCTGAAAATTAATGACAACCACGTGGAGTATTACACCATGCCCTTTGGGAAGGTACATTCCTCCAAGAGTAGGAGACATCTGGGTCCCAGGGCAAGCAAGTCAGAGTCAGGTCCTCTCCTGGATGGGGCTGCTTCAGCTGCTTTCCCCAAAAGGCAGGGTTTTGGAGCGGGAGGGGGGTGAGAATGCTCCTCTGAGTCTTCCCGCTGACTCTAAATTCACAGAGAAATCTAGTCATCTTCAAATTTCTGCATTAATGGGGTGGTTAATCTAGGCTTTCCTCATATTTGGTGTGGAAATTGATTGGGGTCTTAATAAGTGACTTGAGGTGTCTAACATACTAAGATTCCTGACAAATCGGGTCCAGCAACACAGAAATCTTGCATCCCTATGATTCCACCCAGACTGAAGCTGGGGAGTATCTCTATCTCTCTTTCCCTGCCCCCCTCCGTTCCTCCTTTTCTCCTTCTCTTCCTATCTCCTCTTCCCCTCCTTTTACTCTCTCTTTCTCTCTCTCTCTCTCTCTCTCACACACACACACCTTCCTTCAAGGAAACAGGAGGAAATGGATAAACATATCAGAGGGCTCCCCCCAACATCTTCCAGGCAACATAAGGGGAGATGGAAGGAGAGCCACAGAAATGATGTCAGGTGAAAAAGGACTTAATTCATATTGGCCATAAAGGCAAGGACTTTCTAGCCTGTCTTTGTCTCTGTCTTTGTTCCAGAGAGTCACTGTCCCTTCTTCCAGATTTCCATTGAGACATAGACTTCTTTAACCCAGTGCTTCTCAACCTCACTGAACAGTGGGTTCACATGGGGGCTTTAAAAAGTCCTGATGCTTCCATCTCACCCCATAGATCTAATTTAATGGGGGGGGGGTCTGGGTGCAGCCCAGGTGTTAGGAATTTTGAAAGCTCCTCAGGTGATTCTAATATGTAGTCATGGCTAGTAATCACTGATCTAACCTCATTCCCATCTACAGGGTTGGTTTGCTGGTAGGAACCTGGCCATATCTCAGGTCACCACCAAATACGTTCTCTGGGTGGATGATGACTTTCTCTTCATCAGCAAGACCAAGATTGAGGTGCTGGTGGATGTCCTGGAAAAAACAGAACTAGATGTGGTAAGGGAGATTTTTCTGGGGTAGGCAGAAAATAAAAATCCAAAGGACCCAGCACAAGTATGGTGAAAGCTGTGGCTGCAATAGCAAAAAGAGAGTAACTGAGAGATAATTTGAAGGGTAGGTACAGAAAGGGTATAATTCATACTGTAACTGAGGTGCAGTCCAGAAAGTCTTCCTGGAAGAGGCAAGAGAATATTGAGTCTGTGTTCTCTAATGTGGATTTCTCTGCCCACTGGGTAGGTAGGTGGCAGTGTGCTTGGAAACGTGTTCCAGTTTAAGCTGTTGCTGGAACAGAGTAAGAATGGGGCTTGTATTCACCGGAGACCAGGATCTTTCCGGCCCATGGACGGCTTCCCCAACTGCGTGGTGACAAGTGGTGTTGTCAACTTCTTTCTGGCCCACACCGAGCGACTCCAAAGAGTTGGCTTTGATCCCCGCCTGCAACGAGTGGCTCACTCAGGTGAGGTTGGAAGAGTGAGGAAGGGAGCTGGGCTGTGAATTAATCTTAAAAGTTTGTTCTTTCTAAGGGCCATGCCCCACTGATCATGGTCTCTTGCCCATCAACAGTGGGTTTCCTTTTACACCCCAAACTAGGGAGCTCATGGTCTCGCCTCCTAATTCGTCCTCTCTTTGACTTCCGTACCTTCCATAAACTGACTCTGAGACACGCTTCCCTTTCCTCTCCCTACGCCTCTATCTCTTCCCTCTTTCCCCACCCTGCTTCATATTCTCTTTCCAGAAATCTTTTCCCATTTAACTGCAATTGGTTAACTGTCCTCTCTCTTTCCCCTCTCATTTCCCTAGTCCTGGGGTCCATAGTTCTGTCCACTTGGAAAGTTCATCTGTGTCTCTCTGATTCTGTGCCCATATCTGTGCCTGAGAAATGAGCTTATTTATTTCCTTCCAACTCACTGGCAGGTTCAAAGAGCTAAGGGTCTGGATCCGGCATGGGGCTGAACCTCCCCATGGCCCTTCTCTCAGATCTGGGTCTCTGACAGAAACTCACAGTTCCTTCTCCTGCTCTCCCCTCTCGTTGCAGAGTTTTTTATTGATGGGCTAGGCAGCCTGTTTGTGGGGTCTTGCCCAGAAGTGATTATAGGTCACCAGCCCCATTCTAAAGCAGTGGACTCAGAGCTGGTTGCCCTGGAGAAAACCTACAACACATACCGGACCAACACGAAAGACCAGGTCCACTTCAAACTGGCTCTGCACTACTTCAAGAACCATCTACAGTGCTCCACATAAAGGTTCAGGGGGATAGGAAAAGCACTCGAATGATTGGTTGTGGGTATCTGGAACAGTGGAACTGGTGTTAGGGCTGCCTTAAAGTGAACTACTGACAAGATGAACATCGTAATTGAACTAGCTGGTGGGTAAGGGCAAATGTGTCATAGGCCAGATCTCAAAAACGAGACTTCAGGGCACACTTTGAGTTGTATTGCTTTCTTGTAAAGGACTAACCAAAGACACACTCCAGAATGCCAGGGATTAAACTTGGAGCCTGTGCTAAGGTGTCCTGATGAACAGACATCACTGATGTTTAACTCACAGTGTACATACAGTGGCCAGTCACAAAATTCCAGAGACTTGAGACCAGCTGCTGACCACTCAAGAACCATGTCATCGACAGTGCGGACCTGTCATACGTTGTTGAGAGAGGCTCTTTCTGGTTTACTGGAAGTCAGCGGGTTTTACAAGCACTCCTCTAGTCCTGCCTTTATGGTTTCTGCTTACCATGGCTCTCCCTGGAGACTCCTACTGAAGATGGCCTGGGGTAGTTTAGGATTTCTGAAAATATGTTCTGTGAGATATTAATAACACTTCATGAAAAATGTTTTGGCGGTCAAATAATTTTGAGAAATACTTCCTACTTCATCTTCCTCTTGAAAAGTAACAATTACATTAGCATATTAAAAGTTCTGATAATCCTGCAGTAAAGAAATCTGCTTAACGTTGTTTAATTCAGTATTTCCCAAATATGGATATAAACTGGCAATCATTTTTTATTCTCCTCAAACAGAACTGTGTATGGGAGATTAAGAGTTATTAGAAATGGACCAATCACTAACCAGGGTAATGGAGACTACATTCATAATGATCATTATTTATTTGTTAGTAATATCACTCCATTGTGAATGTCATAAAGATTCTATGGCAAAAGCTTTTACAGGTTTAACTAACATGCAGAATCATTTTGCATAATGGCACCGATGAACACACGAGCCTCTCTATCACTCAGGACCCAGTGCTAGCACAGCATGACCTATAACCTACAAAGTTTGTGGACCGCTTTGAAGCGCAGGTAGAATTCGAACTGCAGAAGTGCTTAGGTAAGCACAAAGAGAAATTATTTAATTTGTCAAATTCTTCCACTCCAATAGCATAAAGCAATAGAGTCTTGCCTACTACCTCGTGTCTATTTTCTTGCTTTTCTTCCTATTTCAATTCATGGTTCCAAAAGTACTAAAAAAATGAGCATGGTATTCACAACAATTGCCCATGGTAGCTTACGAACATTTAAAAAATAGTAAACAATTTGTATTACTCTTTAATTTTTACATATGTAGGTCTAGACATACTATGCATGAAGTACGATACTATTTCTTTACATTAGCAACTAGATGGACATTGAATGCTA